TATGATACATTAACCTCTGCAATACATTTAACTGACTCATCCATGGGCCAGAGGCCACAGCCACTCACATCTAATAAAGATAATATCCTGTGTGTGTGTGTGTGTGTGTGTGTGACAGAGAGAGAGAGAGAGAGAGAGAGAGAGAGAGAGAGAGAGAGAGAGAGAGCGAGCGAGCTCCAGTGTAAAAATCTCACATCTCGTCAGATATTGCATGTGCTTGGGCATCACCATGGCAACCATACAGCTCTCTTTACTCCTAGGAGTATGTGTTGGAAGTGTTTGCGTAATTTCTCCTGAGAGAAAAACTGTCTAAGAATAGTCCCAGCTGTAAATCACACCTAGAATATGCTGGAAAACTATCACTGATACATGCTAGAAGCACGTGAACATGTGCTGCTGAAGTTTGCTTTAATAAGAGGCCAGCTATATATAGAGGTGGTCAATACTTTGGTAACATAAGGTAGTACAGCGATTTCTGTACAGGCTTATGGTAACGACAGCATATGTCTTAACTATTAATGCCATAGATTGTTATTCTCAGAGTAAGTTGGGCTACTCAGAAATGTCATCAACTGACACGAGTGGTTCTTTCAACACTGTTCAGTTTTTTTGCTTTTTTTTAAAAGAATAGCATTTAATGTAATTTTAATTTGCCTGTATTTCCACACCACACAACAAATGTCTACATGAATGGACAGAGGAGAGTGTGTGTGTTTGAACCATGTTGATGGGGCATTCTGAGCCTGTGGGTGTTTTCACACCTATAGTTCATTTGCTCTGGTCTGAATCAGTTGAGTTTTTATACTTGGAGCGATTTCCCCTTCGGTTTGGTTTCTATTCACAAGTAAAAAAGATGCATCACTACAAACAATGTGCACTCCGCTTACTGGTCAGACGTGTCTAGGGTGGGATAAATATAGGCAGAGGGTCCTGTGCTCTTGAGTAGTGCATAGCCCCTTAACCCAATTTAACACAGAGCCACAACAGAGTTGGCATTTTCTCATAACTCTAATTATGTGGGCAATATACCAGGCAAACTATGCCAGCAGAATGCTGAATGCACTTTGAGGAAATGTCTTGAAACACTATACTGCTTCACACCTTGCAAAGTAGATGTGCTGCTTTCATGCAGCTAAGTAGAATAAGGGAGCTAATATTGAGCTTGTGCGAGAGCATGCTAACCTTCATCGTATTTAACTGAAGACATGTTTGGTAAGTGTGATATTCTAACCCTTTTTCACTAACGTTTTTAGTGGCTTCAGGAGCCATTTGCTTCAAACTTGTGAAGTACACCTGGCAGTTTGGTCAGATCAAGGGTGGAAGACATCACTACAAGTGAACCATTCTAGAATTTGTTTGGGACCAGACTGAGGTCATCTCCTTGGACCTCAACCATCTTGATTTGGTCCACAGCTGAGTGCAATTACTGTGCTCATTAGGAATGGGGGAAAAAAATCGATACAGCATAGTATCACAATATTTTGTGTGGTGATAGTGTATCGATACACTGACGTGAAGTATCGATATTTTATTATGTACATTATGAAATGCATAATAAAAACAGTTGCTTTTTCAGTCCCCTAGATGGTGCTAATGTTTTCTTCCTGGTGAGGTCAGCAGAGGTCTCAGTCAGCAGCATTTGGCAGAAGGTCCATCAAAACAAAGATGGAGGCACCGGAGAAAGAAATCAGTAATGCTTCATCTGTGTTTAAATCAAACGTGGAGACTTATTTTGGATTTTTTAATGTGTAAGGAAAGTAGGACCTGAATATGACACGTGATTTGCTAGCAGTGTCACATGAGAATAAAATACTCTGGGAATACTACGAACATGAGGGCTCACCTCATACACCCCCATCCAGAGATAGCGTTAGCCGCTGATGGCCAAGCTAACACTAAACCTGCTCTGCCAAAAAATAAACCAACAAGAAGAAAATAACACAGTCCGTCACCTACTTAATGAGATCTACGTCCATACAGCGTTGGTGAAAATGAATGGTGGTTAGTGTGGTTACATGCTAACCACACTAGAACCCAGGTATGTGACGCCATCCCTATGTTTCTTCACTGACACAGCAGAACCCAAGCTCTAAGGAAAGGTGAAGCATAAGTTGAGGAATCCTTGAGTACAGCAGGAAGGGTGACATTAACTTGTGATGCCTGGACTGCAAGTCAGTGGATTCGTATGTGACTAACGGTTAGAACACAATCTGCCCTTGATCCAACTAAACTATGAACTACCAGGTGAACAGTAGTCTGCAAATTTGGACTACATAGCTCCTGTAGCCAGGCGTACATTGCATTTTGGGATGCAGCACAGTGTGCAAACTGTAAAGAAAAGATTGTTAATACTTCAGGCGTACTTAACATGTCTTCAGTTAAACATGTTAATGGTTAGCATGTCCTTGTACATGTTCAATATTAGCCCCCTTATTCTGCTCAGTTATCTGAAGGCAGAACATTTTATTTGCACAGTGTGTAGCAGTATAGTGTTTTTAAGAGGTTTCTTCAAAGTGTATTCAGCGGTCTGCTGGTATAGTTTATATACTTATAAACTAAGAAGATAAAATACCAGATATATTTCTCAGATAATTACCACAGTTGTTGAGCAAATGCCAACTCTGCTGTTGCTTCATATTAAATTGCACAGCAATGTTTCTCTCACAGAAATATGCACTAGTGCAGAGTACACAACCTTCTTCCTGCATCTACTTTCTTCCTCCTACCCCAGACACATCTGAGCAATAAGCAAGTTGAATGTTCTCATGTGGTTTGTAGAGATGCATTTTGGTTCGCTTAGATTTTTCTCTGTGTAAAAGAAACAGAACCGATGGGAAAACGCTCTGAGTTTACAAATTCATCAACTGATTCAGACTCGAGTAAACAAAGTATAAGTGTGAACACACCCTAAGAGTCTACATCTACCATCACCACTCTGAGGCTGTATTTTGGCACAAACATAAACAAACATAATGTTTACCGTGTACCTGGGCTACTGTTACACTACATTTGAGCAGAGGGCTGTACCACAAAGCAAGTTTAACAGGCTCTCAGTGGCTGAGCTGGCTCGATAGACCCCAAGGCAACAGTCAGACATAGCAGGTACCATGAAGATGGTTAACCGCTTGATCTGTTAAATTGCTCTTGCTTTGTGCTTCAGGCTCTGTGTGTGTTAACATAAAATGTGAAATGACACATTCAGCACATCATTTGCCACTTACAAATAATCAATTGTGTGCTGCCTACTTCCATCTTTGAAGAATATTTGTATGCCTCCACACACAAGTCAAGTTTCTCTTGCAATTTACACCCATGTCTTTGAAAACATGGGTGTTTCACACACATTTTTCCCCGACAGCACAGAAGATCTATATAATCAGCACAGTTTCAGGGTGAACACCCAAGATTAGTGTCACCAATTAAGAAGGGAGATTTTTTTCTACTTAAGATATTCATCAGACATTTCCTCTTCTGTTCCTGAGATATGACATTGAGAAATGGCCAGAAAACTGTTTTATGCAGAACATAATGATGTTACACTGAAACTTACCTTTGACCTTTTGGATATAAAATGTCATCACTTCATTATTTTATCCTATTAGACATCATAATTAGCATATGAATTTGTGAGTTATGGCCAAAAACAGATTTTATGATGTCATACTGACCTTGCCCTTTGACCTTCAACCATAAAATTCTAATCAGTTTATTCTTTAGTCTAAGTGGAAGGAAATTCATGGAAGATGTTCTTGAGATAGTTTGTTCACAGGAATGAGACAGATGCAAGGTCACATTGACCTTGACCTTTGGCCACCAAAATCTAATCAGTTCATCCTCAGGTCCAAGTGGATGCTTGTGCCAAATTTGAAAAATTTCCCTCATAATGTTCTTGATATTGAGTTCATGAGAAAGAGACAGATGAGAAAATAGTGACATCTGGACATTTGTGCCAATTTTAAAGTAATTCCCTTGAGGTGTTCTTGAGATGTTGCATTCATAAGGATGAGATGGACATATGGGGGTACACACATACATAGGGACAAACAACCTGAAAACATAATGCCTCTGGCCACGCCTCTTGCCAGTGTGGATGCATAAAAAGTACTGCAGTCAAATGCAACACTGTTGCTTCAATAAAAGCAAAAAAAGGAATGCTGGTAGAAAATTACCAATTGTGTGAATTCACAAGTCTGTATAGCTGAGCCTATTTATAGTACTACTCTGTTTATTGCTAATATGACAGCTGTACATTCTGCAGCTCTGATTCAAAAGTTATACTAAAGAACTGCATTTAGATCTGATACTGTTCCATGATGACTGATATGTCTTTACCATTTCAGTTTTTGGACAAAGCAAAGTGAAATTGATTTTACTGACTGAATATTATCTGTGATAAATACCAATAGACTAATCAATTACCTTTAATATACCAGCAGTAAACAGATTTCTGCAAATTAGAACTAGGCATATAATATGTAATTTCATATGCGAGAACATGTCACCCTGATTAAATGCTTTATAGAAGGCATCTTTTAGAGACAGCTTGAGCAGATGGACCTGAGAACATTACAAAACATTCAGTAGCTCAGTAAGAGCAACAACAACGTTGTGAATAAAACAGAATATTCTTGCTCATATTTTCTGCAGTATCGCTTTCAAACCAGTGTAAGGATCCAGACTAGGTCAGTCTTAGGAGTAATCAGCAGACTTGGCCTGCTCACTCAAAAGTCTCAAAGAGTAATTGGGTGCCGGTCCAAAAAAATCACTGCAAAGCAGAAAACCCGGCAGCACTCACTAATAAGTATAATACTTTTAATATAGTGGACTGCACAGAAGCAGTCAAATGGACGAGTTTCAGCTCATAGCCGTCCTCAGCGTTGAGGATGGCTATGAGCTGAAACTAGTCTGCTTTGCAGTCTTAGGAGTAGCCAAATATACCTTGATGCTAACACAAAGTGGAACCTGGGCAAGGAAGTAGAAGAATAAAAGAGCATACTAACCTCAGGGCCAGAGACTCTAGAGACACCACTTTCACTGTCTCCCTCTGAGAACGAGCCTGATTCGTCACTTGAGTTGCCGCCGCTGGCACCAAATCCCTGTTCACTTTTGATACTGGTGCAACCCTGAGAGAAGACCACCTCCCCGCTGTGGGGGTTCCTCTGCTCCACTACCCCAGCCAGGCAGTGAGACAGTCCAGAGGTGGAGCCTGAGTGTGGGGATGAGGAGAAGTCAAACTGGGGAAGGCTGGAAGGTGAGCTACCACTGCCTGCGTCCTCTGGGTAAGAGAATGAGGAACGGGAGCTGGAAGTCTGGGTTCGGGGCTCAGATGGGGGAGAGGAATGGACTGATGTTTGGATGGGAACAGGGCAGCTGGTGGTGAGGCATGACCGACCAGAAGAGGGAGCCTCTACCTGCATCAGGGTTGAGACTTTTTCTCTGAACTTATCATCCATGTAAGAATGGGCCAACATTTGTCGCTCGCCAGCTGCTGAAGAGAAAATGACACTGGCTCTGTCTAGCTCCCCCTCATGTTTAGAAGAGGAGGCTTTAGAGGCTGGCCTTTCCACATTCTTGCCAGTGCCAGTCAGTGCTGCTGGTATGACATCTGCAATGCCAGTCTTGAGGTCCACGCGACCCAGAGATTCCCTCTTATCCCTCTGCCTGTCTTTGACCAGTTCCCTGTAGTGGTTGAGGGACAGTCTGTTGGTGAGTAGCTGCTGGATGGTGGTGCTGGGCATGCCGCTGAGATCTAGGCCGCCTCTCTGGAGGTAGGAGCGCAGGCAGGAAGAGGGTGAACCTCGACTCGGAGAGTGCTCAGCTGCTACTGGAACCCCTTCTACCTCCAGCTCCATCTCCAGTACCTCTTCAGTACACAATTCTGGGTTGCAACCACTCCTTTCATCTCCTTCTTCCTCAAACACAAATGGCTCCTCTTTGATCCTGGAGGGTGTAAGAAGAGTTTGTAGAACAGCACTGCTGTCTCTGAGCTGTGAGCTCACAGGGCTGACTGAGGTATGGTTGGCATCATCGATGCCATGATGGTTTTCTCCATTGTGCTTGTTATCACAGATCTGGTACTGATACTTCCTGTACTTAGGACATTGAGAAAGGTCAGCAGGAAGTGACGCAGTGCTTGCTATATGATTGGTTTGCTGCCTTGTCTCTGCAGAATCGTCTGAGGATATTGTCTCAGGAAAGACTGCTCCCTCGGCCGTAATGTCATCACCATAATCCACCTTGCCATTGGTGGCAATTTGGCTGTCATTCTGTAGCTGGGCTTGAAGGAACCGAAAGCAAGAGTCCTCCAAATTGTGAACACCCAGGAAGTCGGCGCACAGGATGACCTCATGGATGTTTTCCCGACTTAAAACCAGCTTGGCTGTATAGGCAAATTGGAGCAGTGGAGCAAAACCCTTTGCTGTCACCTGTAGCGGAGAGAAGTGTGAGATGAAAGAATGGTTTTAATGCCAGTGCCTTCAGCATCCACTTCAAAGTGACTAAATATTACACCAAAAAGATTCTTACATTGTGGAGCAACAGACACAAATAAAGGCAGCCAACTAAATTATCTGTATCCACACCTGGAATGGGCAGAGTTTAATTAGGAAATGGGTGGGACTTAACAGAAGTTGTTATTTTAAGCCTGAAATTAAGGGTTGATCAGAAGTTGCTAAATTAAATATTTAAATATTTATTTGAAAATTATTTACAAAGCAATCTCAGGATTCTCATCATTTTTATCACAAGAGTAGGAGATTGAACGCAGCTACCAAAATGCGGGTTTTCCTTCATCACAAGTACGGATATTGAGACATGTTACTCAGATGATACTTGCACTCCTAAAAAGTACATTATCCATACAGAATACTCATTTTATCTGAGTATTTGGCTCAACCCTACTCAAGTCAAGTTCATGTTTATATAGCTATTGTTAGCTAGCGCCTTGAATCACAGTCTCAATTGCCACCTCTACAGACCACCTTGGCAAGAGGAGAGTGGGCAGCAACTCAAATCCAGCCCACACAAACCCCAGCTCTGGGGAACTGGACAGCCCTGATTTCCCCATGGATCAGCATACTTTCTGTTGCTGCTGTTACAAAGGTTAGACCCAATGCTCCAATTGTGACACCTGGTGCTGGGGGTTTGTGCTGGCTGAATTCAAATTCCTGGCAAAGCAGTGAGGACGCATGGAGTGAGTGATGCTTGATTTGATTTTGCGCTGTCCTGTGAGTTATTCTAAGTTTTGCTACGTCTTACAGAGTCAACATTTTCTTATAGAGTGGTTCATATGATTTTCTACGAATTTGCGCCCCACTAATGAAGTTACATCCTTAATGTAAAGTTACATAATTAATGTTAAGTTATGGAGGTTAGGTTTAGGCAATAAAAGTTATTGAGGTTAGGTTTAGGAAAAGAAACATGGTGAGGACATACCTTAAAATGACTAAAAGTTCACACAGATCCAAACATGAGATTCCAGGGGAAAGTCCCGGGCAAAAGTCAACAAAGTCCTGTCATACTCACAACTCTGTCACTTTGACTTTTTTTCCATCAGAAATAATGTTTTCACACTTCAGTTATTGCGTCTTTGTTGTACTTCTGATTAATGTTAAACTACAGTGAACAAAACACAACACTTTGGTGTTTGTCACATTAAAAGCTTATTTACAAAGAAATGGCTGCATTTAATGTGAAAATTCTAAAGGAAGTATTAAGTTTTAGCATAACATAATTTTGGTAAAAAGGCTAAGAAGAACGCCTGACATGACTCTTGCTGTACTCGTGGAATGAGCGCTGTAGAAATGGACATTATAACTGGAATTATCACGACAGCAGGTAAACATGGAGGTTTTGAGTTTGCATTAATTGGAGCACAGGGGAAATTAGAAAAAAAATGGTAAGTCTCAAATGTAAGCCTGTCCCTAACATAAGCCTCTCTGCCACTAAGGCCACTTTTGAAAAACTTAAAACCTACAGTATAGTGTTGTCACGATACCAAAATCTTTGCTTCGGTACCAATACCAATATGAATTTCGATACTTTTCGATACTCTTCGGTACTTTTCCTAAGGAAAAGTCCTTTTGGATACAAACCTTTAGAACAATAAATAGTAGGGGTGTAACGGTACCAAAAAAATCATGGTTCAGTCAGTACCTCGGTACGGACGTCAAGGTTTGGTAACTCAAATGTCCCACCAAGTTTGTGTTGTCTCGTGTTGTCTCCCTTTGAGAGGCAGACTTTCTCTTGTCTTTTTTCACATGCGCCAGCTGCGAATGTTGATACAGGTGTTGTCATACACACCACTAGAGCAATCTGTGATCCAATAGGAACAAGAAAGGAGTTTGTGTGCATAAATGAGTAAAATAAATTAACTAAATTAATGAATTGAATCAATTTCAAAGTACCGGTATTTTCCAAATGCAGTATAGTACCGTTTGGAATACTCTAGTACCGCGGTACTATTTTAGTACCGGTATACCGTGCAACACTACTACAGTACAGTGCTTTTGTTCATTAAATATTGAGAATACAACAATGTAATATATGTAACTGAGGGTGGACAAAATATTAGAAGAACCTGTAACATGTATACTGGAGTTTCAATTATTCTAGTCAGATGTTGGGACTCTGAGAAATTGATTATAGCTACTGTACTGTTTCTTCACAGTAAAAGAAAAACAACATTATGGCAATAACTATGGGGGACAAAAGGAATACAGATGGCGACTTTAACAAAGAGGTGGTGCACTGGAAATGGATGAAACTGAATTTTTCCCAACAGGCATCCAATAAACTTTTTTTCATAGTCAGTTATTTTGCCATATTGCTGCCTTATTAATCTTATTTGTCTTATCTACTTGCATTTATCTTTCTGCCCATCCCTGTCTCCCACCCTTCATCCTCTCATCTCTCCTGCTTTCTTCTTGTTCACCACAGTCAGCTCCTACTGTATGTATTTCACATGTGTGTAAGTGAGAAAGGATGTTGTACTTACTCTATATTGCTGTGTATGCATGTGTGTGTATGTGGAAATATCCGTGTGTATATTGGTGTTCGTGTAAGCCTATTTTCTATGGGGTGCCGTTTGTAAAGTGGCTCACGCTGAAAATAACATCAACATTTTGCCACATTTAGCTTCAAACAATGTTTAAAAAAGTGTTGTGAATTTTTTAACGTCACCTTTTACCACATTTACAGCAATATTTGTTAACTTAGAAATATATTAAATAGTTAAATCTAAATATTAAATGTGGCACCTAAGTGTTAAATGTTAAATCTAAATATTAAATCTAAATCTAAATGCTAAATCTAAATGTTAAATCTAAATCTAAATGTTAAATCTAAATATTAAATCTAAATCTAAATGTTAAATCTAAATGCTAAATATAAATATAAATATAAATGTTAAATCTAAATATTAAATCTAAATCTAAATCTAAATGTTAAATCTAAATGCTAAATATAAATCTAAATGTTAAATGTTAAATCTAAATGTTCTGGGTGAAACTAAATATTTAGCTAATATGCAAATTCACACTGCCGGTCACCAGAAGTACCAAAATAAAAGCTTGAGATGGTCAGACTGTGTTTATAGAATCAATTAACGAATTAAAACCACCTTATCGGGGGAAATGAACACTTGAACATACATTAGCGTGATAATAACTACCTAAAATAACAAGAAACATGTTTGGAGAAATTTTATTTGACGTGTACTTTGAGTTGTTAGTGTCCCTTCGGAGGGACTAACAACCTAAGCTAAGCTAACAACCATTAGCTCTTAGCCCCGTTAGCAGTGTCTGTAATGACTCATTAACTCTTAAACGGTCCGTGAAAAAAAATATTTTTTTCCAGCGGATGTCTTAGTTACAACATGATTGAGCTGGCAAAACAGTTTTGTGTTGCGATGTGTGCTATTTATTCAGTTTTGGGAAATCACGATGTCTAGAAAGCATCAGTGGCTGCAGCAGCAGCAAATCTAACAGCAGGACGTCATCTGTTAAAAGCCTCCCGTTGTCGGATATGACATGAAACTACTCCAGTTAGCTCAATCATGTTGTAACTAAGACATCCGCCGGAAATTTTTTTTTTTTTTCACAGACCGTTTAGAGTTAATGAGTCATTACAGACACCGCTAACGGGGCTAACAGCTAACGGTTAGCCTCACTAATCTATGATAACCATGTTATTAATTTCAGAACGTGATAGTAATGTTTGTTCAATCATTGTGTTTATAGACTTTACAAAAACCAGATTAGTCTAAACGGTGATATAGTGACGTGAAAAATGTGAGATATGCATATATATATGTAGCTAAACTCCGCTGGTTTTCTACCCGGAAGTATTTGTAAACAACAAGGTGATTCCCTCCTAAGGGACACTAACAACTCAAAGTACACATCAAATAAAATTTCTCCAAACACGTTTCTTGTTATTTTAGGTAGTTATTATCAAGCTAATGTATGTTCAAGTGTCCATTTCCCCTGATAAGTTGGTTTTAATTCATTATTTGATTCTATAAACACAGTCTGACCATCTCAAGCTTTTATTTTGGTACTTCCGGTGACCGGCAGTGTGAATTTGCATATTAGCTAAATATTTAGTTTCACCCAAAACATTTAGATTTAACATTTAACATTTAGATTTATATTTAGCATTTAGATTTAACATTTAGATTTAGATTTAATATTTAGATTTAACATTTATATTTATATTTATATTTAATATTTAGATTTATATTTATATTTAGCATTTAGCATTTAGATTTAGATTTAGCATTTAGATTTAACATTTAGATTTAGATTTAATATTTAGATTTAACATTTAACATTTAGGTGCCACATTTAATATTTAGATTTAACTATTTAATATATTTCTAAGTTAACAAATATTGCTGTAAATGTGGTAAAAGGTGACGTTAAAAAATTCACAACACTTTTTTAAACATTGTTTGAAGCTAAATGTGGCAAAATGTTGATGTTATTTTCAGCGTGAGCCACTTTACAAACAGCACCCCATAATTTTCAGCTAGCATCAGCAGCTGCTGCGTCCTGTGCAGAAACACATCTGTACAGAGAGGAACCAGGAGAAGCTACCAGCCTTACTAATGAGAAGCAACAGAAAGAGAAATATGGCACAGAAAAGACACAGGATTAATCAATGAGTGTGATCAATCACTATCCACTTACAATCTGCTTTTCACCTTTTATTTCCCCTTAAGTAGCTGTAAGGTTAAAAATGTTATTCCACACTGTCTGCTAGTCTGATATATATTCTGTTTTGTTTTAAAGCTGTATGGTATATATAGTGAAATATATATTTTAAAAAAATCTACATATTTTTGGCTTCATTTCAATGCATTTTACATTTTTTCCCAAATTCAGTCTGACATCAGTATTTGCTGTCTAACATATTTTGGATCTTCACCAGAATTTAAAACCAAGTTCTGCAGGACTGAACAATTTTCAGCTGGTCCAACAACTGGTCAGTAATATTTAAGGGATGAATAACAACTCTCCAGTTCAATTGTAAATCAAAAGATTGTAAAACTGAAATAACACTTTGTTAGGCCTGAGCTATACAATGGTTTGTTTCAGCTTGTTTATTTGATACGTAGAAATTTCACCTTTGTGTCCTGACTTTAAAGTTCAAACACAGAAAAAGGGTATTTTATTTTTTCCTAAACCTAACCTCTGTAACCTTATGTTAAGGATGCGACGGGGTGCCAATTCTTACTTACTTACGTTCACACCAACTGCAACCGGAGCTTGCAAAGTGACGGAAGTCATTTATTTTCAATGAGAGCCCAGCGACTTGGGCGACCTGGTCGTCAGCCAAAGCGACCGGAGTGGTTCCGGAGGAGAGTTAAAACTCGTTTAACTTTATGGTAATGAGCTCTGACTCGGTTCGGCGGCAACCAGTCGGAATGCTGACGTGCTTCGATGAAGCAGGTCCCAGAGAACAAGCCATGTAACTTTGGTTCCTACAGCACACTTGTTCCGACAACGGATATCGAGAAGTTTATTACTTGCGTTCGCGCCCACTCAGTCCTTTATAAAGTGTCACTGTTCGGTTACAGAGACCAAAATAAAAAGAATGAGGTTTGGGACCATGTCACAGAGGTAGTTGGTTGGTCTGGTGAGTTTTAAAGTGTGTAATGTTAGTAATAGAGGAGAGAATTGCAGGCTAATGTTGCGAAGTAGCATGCAAGTCTTCCTTGCTTGGTTTGAATGGGATGACATACGTTTTCTGTTTTCATTGACCAAACCTAACTTTCTGTAGGCCAACTTTGAGCTTTTTGACTGGACAACAGCAAGCAGCAACTACGCTGCTTTCAAGCCAGTAGTCCGCTTTGCGTATCCTTTAAATTGGTTTTGTGGAGCAGCGTTTTAAAGCTGCAAGTCTGGAATTTTGGCCATTGCCAAGTTGGATTTTTTGAGACAGACCATATTTGGATAATTGGTAAAATGTAAACATGTCAGTTATTTAAAATTCAGCCCCGTACAGTTGTTATGAATGTTGAAATCAGTTACAGAGACCAAAGCTTTTTTTTTGTATCAGGTTGTAAATATGTTTATTTCTGCTGTAAAGTAAAGCTTTGGAGCCAGCCTCAAGTGGTCATTACGGGAACTGCACTTGCATACTGGCAACATGTTTTGCTGCTGGGAGTGCTTATGTGTTTATTTTTCAGTCTCTGAAGTTGCCACTTGCTGACGGCACTAGCATGTTCCCTGCAGACCAGTGTGTTACAGGTTAGCTTGCCAGGTCCAGTTGTTTGCCAGTTAGCCCTGTGACTAATCCCTACATCACCAGACTCCTGCTGTGCCACTCACTGGTGTGACCAGATCATAATACAGAATCAATAGAATTATGTGGTTAGCAGGAAACAGACTTGAAGGAATAAACATGCTTCAAGGTGTGTTAAATGGAGTGAAGAATGAGTCATTATGCAGCTTTGTTGATCAACACTGAGGTGGATTTGTTTTATCAAGTGCATTTGAGATGAAGGACAAATATACATGTCAGGTGTATATAGCCTGTAATTCAGTATTCTTTATTGTCATTTTACAAGAACCATAACAACTGATGTTTTTCTAATGTCAGCGTACAACAGTAATATGACAGTGTCCTTTGTCCTGAAAATACTAAATTCCACACCCAAATCTGTTTACCTCTGAGCCACAGTGAGTTGGAGTAATTTATGAGAGGAGTGAGCGGACAGCAGAGAGGATGTGGAAAATACAGCCGTGCTCTGAGTCATTAGTGGAGTAGTAAGGTGGAGTCTGAAGTGGTGAAGACCTGTACAAGTGATTACTGTACAAGGTGGAGTAACACAGACATATTAATCAATGTGACAGATCTGGGGCTTTCTATGGTAATGTCAGCCACCGGGATCAGGAACTGAATGGAAGTGGCAGCAACTAACAAGGTAACTGCATTTAAATTCATATCCAACATGTTGTCTTTTTTTTAAAGTAAAATGATACATAACAGGTGAGACAAGAAAATATCATATATAAGGTGACGTCACAAGGTTAACACCTTAATTATTAAAAAGACAAAATTATAAAACAAGATAATGTCATTGAGGGAGTAAAGCAGTAAGGATTGGCTCCCATGCCTCCAGGCACTGATGTATTTTATGGTTAATGTATGAGGTCAGTTTCTCCATTATTTTGTGTTTTGTAAAGAGCTCTATCTAAAGTAAGATTTTTACTTTTTTCTTGCTCTTCCAGGTTAGGGGGCAAAATTTTTGTAAATAACAAATACCCCCATTCATTTTCTATCAGGTTCTCCATTATCTGGTAATTACCTGTTTTTACAAGGAAACACATATTTAAATCTATCCAGACATAATTTCTGGTGAAAATATTTCCCTCTGAGAATATGTAGGCCTAAGACTGTGCCCTGTGCCTACAGCAAGCAAATGCTGCTCTCTCTTTAAATAAGCACTTCTGTTTAGGGATGCACAATACAGGATTTTTTGCCAATATCCAATATGACGATATACTATAACAACTAATTTGGCTGATAACAGATATCAATATATCCATACATTATGGAAAATTATGCAACTTTCTTCCCTGAATCCTCTGACTGAGTATACCTCTTTATCTGTATGCCTGTGTCCTGGTTCATCTTTATCATTTTATGTATTTTCATTTATTTACTTACGTAATACCCTGGGTTAAGACCATGCATTTTTGTTTACATTGTGTAGTCCTGTTTTTTTATTGTCTGCTTTATATAAAATTAAAAATAAGGTTTCGAAATGAAGATCCCTCAGGAAAATAATACTTCACAACCTTTTGTTTCTAAGTGTATTGTTGTACTTTGTGGTGGTTTAATAAATTTGTAAAACAGAGTTTACTTAGAGGAGTTCAAGTTGAATGGGTGGTAATTTGCTTGTTAAGCATTTAGCCTTTCACGGGGGTGAAGAAGAAGAAAAGTGTGGATGGTTTAGCCCGCTGGCATCTAGCTAGCTATTTTAACAGCTTTTATCTAGTGAGGACTTTAGCTTGCTAGCCATTAGTTAGCTTAGCAGATGGGTTAATGTCGGTTGGTGGATCAAAAGAGGATAACGCTACATCAGAAGAGGACAACACAACACTGCAGGACTCATCCTTGGACATCATGTGGTTTTTGGACTTACCATAGGCAGGTTGGTGTGGTGTCGTAAGTTACTTAACTCCAAACACGTGGATTTACTCCTCTGAGCTCTAACATACATCCTACATAGACTTTCACATGAGCCCAATTCTTTTATTGTTTAGTATGTTTTATTCTTAACAGTTTGCTATTACACTGGAATGAATTAACTTATTTGGGTGTCTGGTTACGTTAAGGTTAAGGTGATTGTGAATATTGTCTTCACACAAGGGTTTTAGAATTTCGTACTATATTGTAAGTCCTTTAGCACCTTTAGAGTTAGTAACCGAATCTTAAGCGCTTAAGATGTGTTATCTTTGGTTACTGGTCCTTTCATCATTATTTCTGCTTCATTGCTCTGGTGGTTATTAACACAGTATGAGCCAACTGTGTACAGGGTTACACGTCTGTTAATCTGTGTGTTTTAATATTTGTCATTTATATTCTTTATACATACTTATATATCTTTAAGATATATTGATTTGTTATTTGTGCTGTATCATTTACCTGATGTTTCATACATGTTAACTTTGTCAATAAAAAGAAATTTAAAAAAAATGTGGCCCCATGTTGGCCGATTCCGATATTTCATTTTAAAGCCAATATTGGGTGATACCGATGACATGCCGATATTATCTTGCATCCCTACATAATGTGAACAACCCATGTAGCTATCAGCTGTGTGCTCAAGATCAGACTGTAATTACTTTGCTGTTTTCCTACTTTTGTACTTGAGTAATACAACAACTAATGTATTATTACGCCAAAAACCTACAAAGCAGCAGGAAAGTACAGCCTGCACTGAGCTGCCATGTCATGTCTACGGAAGGCCATTTGACTTTGGTCACTGGGTCCTCCTTTGAGGCTCCAAAACTGAAACGAGGTAAGAGTGTGTCCCTTAAAGCAGTTTGATGCACCTCATGATGGTGTTGGTACATGTTTGGCCAATTAAAAATGCAGGTTTACTTAAACACTTTAAGTGTGTTTGATCCATTAAAGCAATGAGTACTACTTCTATACTGTGGTTGGGGGCGGGGTGTGACAGACAATATATTGCCTAATAAGTAGAGTGATGGGGTAAGTGAAATCCAGTCGCTCAATATGAAGGAGTTTATCAGTGATTTATTTCCAAAAGTGTCGTACGGGTGAGCAGTGTCAGATTGAGTGGATGTAATCTGCTAAGGTGTTAGAGGGGCACAGCTTGAATTAAATAATTAAATAATTAAATAAAATCTGAAAGACCCATTCACAACAATTTGTGTGAACTCTTTTCTATCCATCCAATTGCATGTCCTTCTCTTTTAACCTTTTTTATCCATTGAAGGTCAAATAAGAAGAATATTTTAAACTGATATTAGAGATGATGAACTGCAATGTGGTACTTAAAGCAGTGTTTGAATTCCCTTGTGTCATTTCTCTTAAAATGCCCTTAGTCTGTGTGCTGTCTTTGTGGCCCTTTACCTTGTCTGGCAGGTTAATGATGGGCTCTGTTTCGCCTGGTGACCCGTTGTGACCCAGCAAGGCCTGCAGGAAGTAGCGGCTGCTAGCGGCAAGGACGGCCCTGTGTGCGCGTACCTCCCTACCCTCCACCAACACGGTCACGTCGCACAGGATGCCCTGCCGCCGCTGCTCCTCCAGGCTCAACAGCACGTTGGCACAATGGACCTTGGATTCATACACGTATACAGGCGCTGCCGCCTCACTGCCCCTCTCCTCGCCTGCCGACATCACTCTCTCTAGCACCCTGGGCAGAAGAAAGAAAGAAAGAAAGAAAGAAAGAAAGAAAGAAAGAAAGAAAGAAAGAACATGTCAGGTACATGTGTACAGTGTTTGCATTTGAATACGAAGGCTACCTTTTCATTGTGTCCAGTCTCTGCAGAGGCTATGAAAACTCAAGGACTGAAAGGCTAAGTACAGAAGTACTTTAATAATGGCTGTTCCATAAAAAATGCAGATAAGTTGGCTGCTAAACTGAATGCAGTTGAGAACCTTTGTGAATTTGTTGCAAACGAAAATAAAGAGTCCACAAATATTTGCAGTATTAGTGTGTAAGATCTGCACTAAGCAAGACTCCTGATAGTCCCTTACCAGCTAACAATGATACACATGAGCAAAAATAATGAGTGCATTGGGGAAAATGGTGAAATATGAACGGACCCTCTGGGGGAAGATCTGATGGAGAGACAAACAAGAGTATAAATTTGTAATGTTTATGATTTCAGGTTGATATTTAGAGAATATCAAGCCAATCGCCAGAATAATGTTGGCATCGTGCATTTCTGCAGACATCGGATAGGTTACGTTTGTACGGTATTATAGTCCCTGGGTCTTCAACAGGGGGTCTGTGACCTCTAGGGGGTCCTGAGAGTTACTGCAGAATTATTGCTTTGTTATTGTTTTTTTTTTCTTTTCAGAAATAAAAACATGTTTGTGTCATGGATGGATTTGGGTTCACAGTGCAACTCACTTTTCATATGTATATGTAATAAAGGGTCTCTGCTCTGACCCTCTTTCAGCTAAGGGGTCCCTGGTCTGAAAACCACTGAAAACCCCTGATGTAGTGGATATGTTCAAGCTTTATGTTTAAACAATGCTATGGTTAATGTACAGTTAGGTTTAGGTATAAAAAACAGTTTCTTATGGTTAATTATGTTTTGGCTTAGAGTACCCTGTTTTGGGGGCCATGTCTCTAAAATCCCGGCAAAAACCCAGCATTGTCTTGGTAAAAAACAGCCACTTTTCGTGGCACTATCCATGATGGAATAACAGTGACAGGTCCCTAAAAAATAGCTCATATACTATGTCACTTACAAAACACTGATATGATACATATGAAACATGCAAATGTTACTTTTCCATGGTTTGTTTAGTAAATTGGACAAGCAATGGTTTCACTGTCTCAGTGTGCAGATCTTTCTGACAGAGTCCAAGACATTTGAACAGCAGAGGGTATTTATCTATTCACTGCAGGGTTATTGTACTGAAATATAACGTACTGTAAAATATGTGTATCTATCTATATGTATATATCTAGAAATAGATATTTAAGTAGTAGCTCTCTTTATAAAGCAGCCTTCCATATTGATAGCAGGCAGCTCTGTCTATTGTGTTTTATTTCAATGCTGTAGTACATAAAGCCCCAACACAGACAGCTGAGCATGCAGTCTGTCTGTCTCATCAGCCCTGGGCTGTGTGTGTGTGTGTGTGTGTGTGTCAGCAGGCAAAGAGGGGGCTGCTTTCTGCTGACTCATGGCTTCTGAATAGGCAGAGCCCTGCACTGGGGGCTTGCTGAAGTAGTGTTCTGGCTTTTTTCCCTGTTGCCCACGGGCCAATCATCTCAACATTGTAGATCATCTCGTGCCTTCCCTCAGGAACACTTCAGGCTCAGACCATTCTCTACTGCTTTTCATGATGCCTGCACATTGTTATCTACCACTATTTATCCTCTGCATTACACATTCATGTGCCTGCTGTAAGTGAAAACAAAAGAAAAAGGGAGAGGCAATGCCATCTACTGTATCCCTTCTTCTCGTTAGCGTTACTGTATTGCACTTTACTTACGTTAGCTGTAAAGAGCCACTATCTGTGGGTGACCCACTACCCTTTTTGTTTGTTTGTTTTGAGCCATAATCAGGCACAAGATTACACATCCAACACTTCTTTGCATAACAGTTGAATCTCATATAATTGTATAGTTATGTAAATAACCATCAGGCACTCTTAACTAGATCCTGATGGTTACCTGAGAAAGTTCCCCAAAAACAATGAGGATTTATAAAGGGCTGGGATTACCTATTACCTTTTAGTGGAATTTTATGAGGTTGATATGACCATATAATTTGTAATCGATTTACAAAATCCTGTTGTGTGAATTTTGATTTCAATACTAATTACAAACTTAACAAAATGTATTTATATTTCTGTAGTTTCAGACACATCTCAAAACCTTCATCAGTGTGCCTATTAAAAACCCAATAGCCAGAATAAATCTTGGCTTTCTGCAAATCGCAGATATGTTATATTTGTATGTTTTATCTGTAGCAGATATGTTGAAACTTTACATTTCTTTATGTTGATTTTTTTTATCTAATGCTGTAATAATTTTGTTGTCAACATGTGATTAGAAAAAAAATGACCAAAGACCAAATGTTTCCCCTTCTGTTCCTGAGATATGACATTGAGAAATGGCCAGAAAAGTGTTTTATGCAGAACATTATGATGTCACAGTGAAGTTGACCTTTGACCTTTTGGATATAAAATGTCATCACTTCATTATTTTATCCTATTAGATATTTGTGTAATTGTGTAATAATTAGCACATGAATTCCTGAGTTATGGCCAAAATCATGTTTTGTGAGGTCACTGTGACCAGATTTTAATCAAGTGGATATTTGTGTCAAATATGAAGAAATTCACTGAGGAAGGTTCTTGAGATATTGCATTCATGACATTAAGATGGGTGCAAGGTCATGGTGACCTTGACCTTTGACCACCAAAATCTAATCCATTCATTGTTGAGTCTAAGTGGACATTTGTGCCAGATTTGAGGAAATTCCCTCAAGCTGTTCTTGAGATACTGCATTCAAAAGAATGGGAACACAGGGAACCATCATGTTTTGGTTGAAAATGCCCAGTTTGGTCACCACAAACACGAGTGGAAATGCGTCTAGATCTCCGTCCCTCCTCCTGATGAGAAACTCGCCTCCTATACATGTAATGTGAGCTACATCACTTCAGAAATGTTGATATGATGCCTATGAAATGTACAGATGTAACGTAATCATGGTTTGCAGTAACATACAATGTCTCAATCTGACAATGAAAGCCATTACAGTGTGTTCACACCGGGTGCGAGGCGAATTTTTCACGCGATAAGATTACATACAAAGTCAATGTAAAGACGCGAATAGACGCGAATTTGTGCCGGCGGCGCGAATGACGTGAATGGAGCAAACATGCGAAATTCACGTCGTTCGCCTCTTCGCGCAAGTACAAAATATTGAACTCGAGCGAAATATTCGCTTGTCGGGGCAGCCTATCAGCGTTGAGATTTTCCTGTCATCACCGTCGTCACCGTTGTCACCGACGTCACTGACGTCACTGACGTGCTGCTGCCATTGTAGTAAACAACATCCATTCAGGCGACATGTGACTTGCCGGATACAGTGAATATTTATTGATTTTCACATGCAAAAAACTCACCGGAGAAAGATGGATATTTATTTTGGTGCTAATATTCAATGCAGGCTCCACTTCACCGACGACGACTGGGATGCTCGCCCTCACTGCAGGTGTCTGGGTTATGGAGAAAGCAGGTAGCCTTCACAAACTTCACTGCAACATCTGGATGGACATCAATAGTCAACAACTGCCCCGTGTTGTTCCGAAAATGGAGGACAAGCTTATAATAGCTGTTTGTGGCCACCCTGAGCGTTATGACGTTACGTAAGCTTCGGACCAAGAAAGACCTGGCGTGGAGGAAAGTGAGTGAGGAGGTCGGTCTGCCTGGTAAGTTTTGAAAATTGATTCCAACTATCGGCTGTACATTTCTATTGACAAAGTTAGCACTAGCATTAGCCCCAGCTAGTACAACCGTTGTAGCTTGCTTTCCGGCCGGCATACTTGTCTCATTTACTAGCGGTGTGAACACACTGTTGCTCGCGCGAATGACTCACGTGAATGTCGCGAGTAAAAGCAAATATTCCAGCGGTCAAACTCGCGCAAGTAGAGCGAGGCGAATATTTTACTCGCACCAGGTGTGAACACACTGTTAGATGTGAACTTAAGAAAAATATTAAGGAAGTTGACCTGCTTAAACTTTTTGAACATGTTCTTGTTAAAAAAAATGTTTTGCACTGAAATAAATGCAAAAAAATGACAGTTATTTGCACTAAACATGAATAATAATAATAATTATAATTATTATGGCCCAACATTCGCAGAAAATCTGGCAGTGTAAAAGAGGCTTATGATTCTTTAAACCCCCTGTTACCCAAGTAAAGTTGGCGAAGGTGTGGGGACAGTGCTGCTCACTATATACATATATTATTCCCTTCTATCACTGCACAGTAGGGCTGCCACTAACGATTATTTTCATTGTTGACTAGTCTGTCGATTATTTCTTTGATTAGTCGACTAATCATTTAATCGAAAAATGTTTTAAAATGTTGAAAAATGACGGTCTGTCTCGCCCAAACCCCAAAATTAAGTCATCTAATGTCTTGTTTCATACTCACGCCAAAGGGTTTTAGTTCACTGTCATGAGAAAGTGTGTAAAGCTGCCAATATCTGAACGTAAAAAGCTGCAGTAAGAGTATTTTGGGGTACTTTTATAGTACTTTTCTATGAAAAATGACTCAAACCAATTAGTCGACTACTAAAATAGTCACCGATTATTTTAATAGTCGATTAGTCATCGATTAGTCGACTAATCGTGGCAGCCCTACTGCACAGCAATCAATACTGTATTGACATAAGCCAAACTATGGAGATTACACTTCAGTGCACACTGTCACTGGGGCAAGGGCTAGATATACCTCTGCTACTGTCTCACCAATCTGCTGAGTACCTCTCTTTAGAATTCTAAGTAGCAGCGCTTGAACAGATAAAGTGTCTGAAACCAATTGCACCACAAATAGGAAAATGGAAGGAGGTGATTAAGGAAATGTACACGACAGAAATGATAAGCAGTAAGATAAGAGACTCAGTTCATTTATCTTAATTGATGAATTAAGATTGTGAGAT